CCCCCCACGACCACACATACGAACACATAAATTTTAGGGTGTTCTGCAGTCCTTGCATCTATGAAAATCCATTGGCATGACATTGGCAGGAGAATTGATCATGTTTCTCATTGGTAAGATGCTGAAAGATGTGGAAAGATGATTCTATTTTTAAAATTTTTTTTAGATTCTCACAAAAGACAGTGTAACAGTAGCCGTGGATGCCGTCGTCTACTTCAGAATTAACAATGCTACAACTTCAATCACTCAAGTTGAAGACGCCAACCGCTCCACCCGTCTGCTGGCCCAGACAACCCTCAGGAACGTGCTGGGAACAAAAAATCTCAGTGAAATTCTCACTGAACGGGATAACATCAGCCACACTATGCAGGTGAGACTTGTGGATGTATAGGTAGGCAGGGAAATATAAAAGAAATGAAAGAAATATTCTTGAAAAGTATATCTTCAGCTTTCTTAAGATAAGGCTTTCAAAAAGTTACAAAAAAATGTCCGCACTCCTCATGAAAAAATAAAGAAGTTTTCCTTTTCTCTTTAAATTTTGATTTTCAGAACATATGTTATGTAAGTCATGCATTTCCCATTTTGAAGTCTTTCTTTGTGTTTCTATTGACAGTCCACTTTGGATGAGGCAACTGATCCATGGGGTGTTAAGGTCGAGAGAGTTGAAGTGTAAGTATATATTTTTGTACTCATGCTTGGGAAATATAAATAATATCATTGGTATAATGCAAAAATGAATGGATGGAAGAAAAAAAAGAATAAAAGGCCTCATTTAATGTCAGCACTCCTTCAGCCAGTAGCTGGTCTTCCAGGGAAAGTGTGCACTTTACCCCCTCTCTCCATCAATGCTCTGTTTTAAGAGTATTCAAAGCTGAAGCTACATGGATTAGAGAGAAGTCGAAACTGAGGATCAAACTGTGGACCTCTAGCTCCAAAGGCCGAACCAACTGAGCTACACCTGCTCCAAAATAATTAAGTTGGTTAATGAATAATATGCTGTAGAGATGGAGAAAGAAAGGTGGTAGGATGGGGTGAATAGATGGATGAAAGAGTGAATAGAAATTATCCCATCTTTAACTTTGTCTCACATTTATTTTATTCGTTCTTCTCCATACAGCAAAGATGTACGTCTGCCACAACAGCTGCAGAGAGCCATGGCAGCAGAAGCCGAGGCAACACGCGAAGCCAGAGCAAAGGTTAGTGACGTCAAGCATACTCTCAACTTACAGTACAGACATTTGCTGAATTCAAATAACACAGTTCTTTAAAAATCTTCCATTGCCTTTTCTCAACATTTCTGGTTTTGAATTTTAGGTGATTGCTTCTGAAAAGCATACTTTTCCCATTTATTTCAATATTTTCAAAATTAATTTTTTTAGGTCATTGCTGCTGATGGTGAAATGAATGCTTCGCGATCCCTCAAAGAAGCTGCTGACATTATTGCAGAAAACTCACAAGCTCTTCAGCTTCGCTACCTTCAGACCTTAACAACCATCTCTGCTGAGAAAAACTCAACCATTATCTTCCCTCTCCCAATTGACTTTATCAGTCGTTTTGTTCCTGACAGCAAATGAGTAAATTTGTGCATCAGGGTAAAACCAATTTGCAGCTAATATTGCATTATGCATTAGTATCCATGTGTAACTATTTAATCACTCTAGATTTATTTGTAGGATAATTATTGTAAAATGATACTTTGAGCGAAAGTTTTGGACACAACTAGTTTATAATTGTCCCATTTGGGGCTCAGGTATGTCCTCCAGATTGTGTCAATCCAGGTAGAAAAGGTTTCATTTGTGTAACTTTTCTTTTGCTAAATTGTGCTTTGTAATAAAGTAAGATTTTTTTCTACAATTTTTTTAAAATTCTCAGTAATTATTGCTTGAGTTTGGATCAATTTGCACAAAGCTCGAAATGTAACAGCTTGCAATTATTTAATAAAAGATTTTTGAAATCAGTTGTTCTAGTTTTAAACTTTCATAAAGTTATACTTGCTACGTGGGTGGGAATAAGAACAAATTAACTTTCCTGAACTACTTGTGCTCTTTTACTCCGACGAAGGACTAGCGCCCGAAGCGTCAGTTTTTTCATCTTTTCACAGTGTATAATTTACCCTTTTATCATTACTGTTTCATTAGAAACACTGACGCAGCTCACACTAATTCTTTAGTTAATTATCTCTTCTTTGAACTACTTGTACATGAATCAGTCTAAAAACACAACAACAAAGCTAATAATAATAATAACAATAATAACAATAATAATAAATTAATTTATAATAATCAGTAACTTTAATAGTGCATTATCGTAGGATCCTAGCCAAAGAATGCGATCAAATTCTATATATATAATATCTATATATATCTGCAACAAATTAATAAATAAAATATTAAAAAAAGAGAAAAAGAAAAACTATTATAATAAAATATACTATTAATAATAAAAATATACTACTAATGTACCATAAAATCTATTTAGTAAAAACTAATCATATTAATATACATTAAATAATAATAATAATGATACTAATAATAACTTTATAGTGCACCTATCCCAAAAAAATGCTCTAGGCACATTAAATTAGAAAATAGGTAAAAGATGTGTATTCAATTTGTATTTAAATCAGAGAAAAGATCAAAAAATAAATGGTGGTGACTGATAATTCATTAATTCAAATTAAAAGCAGATTTGAATGACTAGCAGGAGATTATTCTATCATTGCCCTGACGACAGAAAATATGTCTGAAAATTCAGCAAAAATTTTAAATGTTAGAATTTAATGTGGTCAAACTTGTTTTAAACAGGTTTCTCCTACATACAAACACATTTCCATGAAGCAAATGCGGCATGTTCTGCTATAATATGCTGCCTCTCACCAAATGTGACTGAAGTTTGAGCCCTGCCAGGCTTGTTGCCGTATGTGAGTAGTCTTTCTCTCCTGTGATTCAAGTTTTTTTCTCCAGTTTATTTACTTTTTCCTCCCTTTGCAAAAAATCAACTGAATGTGACTCAAGTTTGGGCCCTGCCAGGCTTGTTGTGGCCATATGTTAGTAGTCTTTCTCTCCTGTGATTCAAGTTTTTTTTCTCCAGTTTATTCATTTTTTCCTTCCTTTGCAAAAAATCGACTTCTAAATTGTAATTCGACCTATCAGCTGCCTAGGTTGCAAAACCTGTTAGGCCGTCCACCCAGGAATGGTCATTGATCTAATACAAGATATCATTTTCAACCAAATTAGAATGATTGTCTTTTTCACTAATGGCTTGAATAGGGTATATTTTTCCTTAACGATTCTCTTGTTTTAGATAAGGTCACGGTTTGAAGATTCCAGCAGCACATCCCTATCCAAACCAGTTGGATAGCAATATAAATGACTTTAATAATTTATCTGAAAAAGCCTGCATAAAATAAATTTGTAAACCAATAACTTACTCGTAAGATGACATGATGACGATGACTATGGTGACAACTCCTGGAAGCAGGAACAAGACTTGATAGGAAATAATATTAAAAATATGATTGTTTCAAATAAACAAATGAAACCTCGGATCAAAACAATTCTGGGAAAACAATGAAAATTACATTTTAAAAGGCTAAAATATAGTCTTATGCAGTCCCAAAACACCAAAAACAACATTGGACCTCTTTTTATATTTTAATTTTTACAATATTCAACCCCATTCTTTGAATTGTACAGAAATTTGTTACAAGAGCATTGTTTGGGCTGTTGAACACACAAATTACAAATAGTCATACACATTAAATAAAAAGGCCTGAAAATAGGCCAATTGCAACAAACAGTCACGTGCTGATATATCACTTTGATAGCTTATAATACACTCAACAAAATTACTTGATTCTGATTGGAGTACAATTAAATCCCAAATTGTACTCTGTAGAGTCCCAATTAAATTCCTTAATTTTGTTGAGTGTATTATAAACAAAAAATCACACAATGTTCTTGTACAATTAGAAATTCATAGATATTCATGATGTTTTGAAAGTTCTCAAATTGGACACCTAAAAGGCTCCTCCAATTTTGAAAACTTTCGAAGCATCACTTGTACCTATACTAATAAATTCAAAAAAAACAAACTTTGGCAAACAAACTTTAAAATGCTTTGTATCTTGAAACTGAAAGTATCGTTAAGGAAGAAAATTGCATTATTTTTGAAAATGCTTTTGGGTATGACATAAGTAATCCAGCAAGTTATTTGAATAAAGAAAGCTCATTTTGCCGTCCAGAAACAGTCATGTGATTATGTCCTGCTAACGGGCAATTATGGGGCAGGGTGAAGCGGAAGACCAAAATTGCAAAACACAAACAACCTAAATACATATTGTTTGATAATTTTCCTCTTTATTAAATTAACTCAGAGGCAAACCATTCAATCAATCAGAATCTGAACACAATAAACAGAAGCTAACCTGGCTTCAATCAAAGCATTGTCTATAACGATAGAGTGATTTTCTTAAACCCGTGAAACAAATACCACTACGTAGTTAGTGTGTAATAGTGAAATAACAATAAAAGAACACAATGGAATTAGGGTCTACCAACTTGTATTAGGGTGGTGTGTACTTCACGGGTCTATGAAAATTACTCTCATTTCTAGATCTCTAACCTGGATTATGAACTACAGGGTAATCTTAGCCAATCAAGTCTAACTGCTTTACATAAAAAATTAGTTGGACAGTATTAAAACATGATAGAGGAGGGAAAAAGAGAGATTCAATGCATGCTTTTTATTCAAAAACTGGGGTTTTTCTCTACAATGGACTATGAAAAATAGACCACTAGAAAGTTAGCCAATCAGGATACAGGATTTGCAATATTCCACTAATTATACATGATATAATCACATCATCAAAAAAGATGTTTGCCACTCATTTGGGTACCCAGCCAGACAACTGTTATGGATAATAAATATTTATCAATATCAATATATCATAATTGTGCACTCACTTATTGAATAATCAAAATTTACTTAATATAAGGTAACCATGAACCAAAGCACCCTCAATATGAGCATCAAGTCAGTATGAACTACATTAGAACATATAAAATTATAAAAATTAAAGGGGCACTTGGATGAAAATTGGAAATGACTTGAAACTTGTTTAAACTTATCTATATGGCCCAGATAGTAGCCAAGCAACATGTTTCCTTCACAATCAAAAGTGGCAGAAAAAAATTATCAATTTTATTTAGCATCTAAATTGTGAGTAAATGACGCCATCTACTTAACCCTATTGCTCTTTTCACTTTTAACCCAAAATATCTCAATTGCGAGTGGCTCCCAGGCTAAAATTTTCACTTATCTGATTTTCATAATCATAGTTGAGTCATATAATCCTTGGATACTTAAATTATTCAGACTTTCAAAATATGGGGCGTTTTCATCCAAGTGTTCCTTTAAAGATAAATGAATGTAAAACAGCATAAGGGAAGAGATACTTAGCTTTAATGGTGTCTGGGATCTTGAGCACTCTGTTGGAGGGCTACGAAGGGCTCAAGAATAGAAACAACATCTGTTAAGTATCTCAGCACCCTCATCTAACTGCTGACAATTTGCTGACCTTTATTTAACAACTATTCGCCGAAGGCGAAGTGAATATCGGGAAATATTTACCAAGACGCGAGTCTTCAAGCTGCGAGGTAAATATTCTTCGATATTCACTGAGGCTGAGGCAAATAATTGTTTTAGTATAAATACACAGGTGACTCTTTCAAAAAAAAAAGAAAAAGAAAAAAGAAAGAAAAAAAGAAGATAAAAGACATTTTTTCCTAGTAACAGCAACAAAGCGGCTGGCCGCCATTTTGGATTATCGCTGGGGGTGATTATCGTGTGATAGTGTGAGTTTGTCGACCAATCAGCTCGTGAGATTTTCAATAATCACCTGTGTATTTTTACTAATGGGTCATTATTCTAATACATGATGCTGTTTGGTCATTCTTTGCTAACTAAAAATAACTGTCAGGTATTAGATGGCACCAGAGATCTCTTGTCCAAGGAATAACATTCTAGTTGTCAACAAGAACTTGACAGGTAGATGAGGTTGAGAGGCGCAACTACTCACTTTAAACCACTTATTATACATAGTGATTTAAAAGATAGCATACTGAATAATTATAATATACTCATTCTAATACATTTGCCGATAAGAAACCTAGATAAACCATGCCATTGATAAAACCAGGAAAAGGATAAAAAGAGCCAAGGGCGTAGGGTAACAAAGTGAATAGAGAAAATTCAGTTCAAGTTTTGATTGAGAAATGCTAAGAGATTTTTTTGGCGATGGGGTAGTTGTAGAGGGAGGAGCTATGAGGAAATGTCTAAGTGGTACTTGAACACACTCCAAAACTGGCCAATTTCTATGAGGGTTAGATTGTGGAAATCCTTAGCAGGGCAAATCAGATTCCTAGACAAACTAGCTTTAAGGTATAGGCCTTTGTCAAATTCACTTGAACGACCACTAAACAATAGGACTGATATCTCAAGCGGCAGCGATATTGGCTGTAAAGATATGTATTATTTTTGTCTGGCTATCCTTGTATTCAAGCACTTTGTGATGACTTCATGATGATAAAGGTCTACGATTCAAAATTAACAAAGATTGGTCTTATACATTAACTATTTTTATCAAGTCCAATTTTAGCTAGAAGCCATTGTTAATGGTCCTTGAAATGAATTTCAGAAAGGTCCTTTTTACTGCTTTAATACTAAATATCAGGCTTAAAATAACAGCCAGCCATTGAACAATATCCAGTCAGAATATGGAACTTTTCCAGTCAATTCTTTAATGTCTTGCTGCTCATTATGACTCGTTAAGTTGAGCCGATAAGAGGTATAATTGAGCCAAAACCAATTTGGTTGGTCATCATGACCAGCTGTTATTTTAAGCCCTGAAATATATCCTTTAATAAGATAAAAGCTGTGTCTTTGTGCATGTATAGTCTTACTCCAGTGCTATATGAAACCACTCCTTGCTGGCTCAACAAACAATCTTACTTGCCGTCTGGAACAAAACGACTGATAAAGTCAATCGGCAGAGGGAAGATAATGGTTGAGTTTTTCTCAGCAGAGATAGTTGTTAAGGTCTGAAGATAGCGAAGCTGAAGAGCTTGTGGGTTTTCTGCAATAATGTCTGCAGCTTCTTTGAGGGATCGCGAAGCATTCATTTCACCATCAGCAGCAATGACCTAAAAAAATTAATTTTGATAATATTGAAATAAATGGGAAAAGTATGCTTTTTAGTATAAAAAAGATTCATATTTTTTATTAACTAATGTATTTTATACGTCACTTTTCTTGTATATCATGTATATATATGTTATATTTGTATGTAGCATTGTATGTACCATTATCCGAAAGACTTAATCTGTACTAAGAAGGTTGATAAATAAATCTATTCTATTCTAAACATTTCCCTTATGACACGAGTTATGACAAACAAAATCTAACCTTTGCTCTGGCTTCACGTGTAGCCTCGGCCTCTGCTGCCATGGCTCTCTGTAGCTGTTGTGGCAGGCGTACATCTTTGCTGTATGGAAAAAGTGAAAGATCAGTGAACAAAAGAAGTTGTGTTACCCAAACAACTAGGGGAGGGGAGTTTTCACTCCTTAATAATTATTAATAATTATTTTTTATTATTTTTAGTCTTGAAATATGGGCAACCCTTAAAGTACAAAAGTTGATCTAAAAGTGAGGGGAGTTGTCATTCGTTTCAAGTTTCACCTTACTTGAATGATGATAATGTAAACTTCATTATGTTTTCCAAATTCAATCGTAAATCTTGCTATATATAGCCAAATTACAATCAGCTACTTGAATCTTTTACACATAAGTACATGATGAAAAATACTTAAAACATTACATTACAATTTTTTTTTCACATTTAGTTGTAACGAAAAGTTAAGACTTAATATCAAGTCAGGGCCATCCCAGACTGTTTCTACAATAAAATATATAATAGATTTATGAAATGTGTTTTTGTCACTTGGTAAAGATCTATATGCTAAGTGTATGCTGCATCAAGTGTATAAGCAGATTAAAAGATCTGCCTCAGTTTGGTTCTCGCGGGACTCGAACCACTGACCTCTCGTTTGCTAGACAACATCTCAACCGCTCTGCCACTGAGGCTTTACAGGAGAAAGTCGTGTAAGATCTATATTTTAATCAAATCCGCGCGTGATCTTTTACCCAACACAAGACGGGATGAAGACAGTTTGGAACCCGCTCGGAATATCTGTTAATCAACGGAATTTTTATCAACTGAGGCAGATTTTTTAATCTGCTTATACACTTGATGTAGCATACACTTAACATATATATAATAGATTGTTTGAATAGCAATGTTCATGATTTTCCTTATTACATATTTACGCTTGTTTTTTTCAAAATCTAAATTTTCTAACATTTCAATAAATGTTGCACAATCACTAGATATAATTAATATAATAATAATTATTATTATTATCATTAGTATATGGTATTTTATATAGGGTCAATATCCAGTTGTTCAACAATGCTTTGCATTTCCCATAAAAATTCTCAATAATAGAATTAAAAATTAAAATTTAGGAAATTACTATTCCATTGATCAATACATTTTTGTTTTTATACATATATACTTGTACATAACATGACATGATGTTTTGTGTTACTTACACTTCAACTCTCTCAACTTTGACTCCCCATGGATCAGTTGCCTCATCAAGGGAAGACTACAAAGAAAAAAAAGTGTGAGCCTCCAAAAAAACCATTATGAGGGAGAGAATGTAAATCAGAACCATATTCTAACAATTTATTTGATTGACAGTAGTTTCCTGCCGATGGACAGTAGTCTACTGCCAATTAGCAAATACAAAAGGTAGACTAACTCTAAAAATCTGATGGATTAAATTAAAAAAAACACTAATATAAGATAAGCTAAAACATACTCATAAAAAATATATAAAATTAACTATAAAATTTACCTGCATAACATGGCTAATATTGTCTCTCTCAGACAGAATTTCACTGAGATTTTTTGTTCCCAGCACATTTCTGAGGGTTGTTTGGGCCAGCAGACGGGTGGAGCGGTTGGCGTCTTCAACTTGAGTGATCGATATCGTTGCATTGTAAATTCGGAAGTACACAACGGCATCCACGGCTACCGTTACACTGTCTCTGGTCAGAATCTGCAAAAAGCAAATTTTTTGTTGTAATTTTGAAATAGAAAGAATTTTAAAAAAAAGATTTTATAGTTTAAATTTACCTCTTGTGGAGGGACGTCAAATGACACGACCCTGAGGTCTACCTTTCTGTAGGTGTCAATGCAGGGAAGAATGAAAAAGATTCCTTGAAAATAAATTAATAAGTTTAAGATCCAAGAATTTGATAAGAGAAAGCCCCTTATAAGTAAACAGTCCCTTATAATTTTAAGTCAGAATAAGAAAAATTTAAACAAATTACCTGGTCCCTTGGCACCACCAGGAAGCAGCCGACCAAGTCTGAAGATGACAGCTCTTTCATACTCTTGAACAATCTATTAAAAGATATAATATTTCAATGATAGATGGTAGGTGTCAACAGAGCTAGGATCCGACAAACTTTTTTTTCTTGATTGTAATGTTTTTCTATTTCAAACCACCTGTCATTCTCTTGAGAATAACATTTGTATTCATATAAGATAAGAGAGCTAAAAATAATTTCCGGTCAGTTACAGATCATTACGACAAGCCAAATTAGTTTTAGCCCTGTCATATATTGTTGCCGGCACAAGGTTACACATCAAAATGACTGGCAAGGCCAATATTTAATAACATAATAACATATTAATCAGCTTTTATTTTCAGCGAGGCCTATACTAGTATTCTTGTGTGCACCTTTTAAACAAAGAATTATACTCTAGGGTTATAACAAATGGTCTGAAATAGGAAAAGAGGCATATTAAGTGTGTGCGGAAATATAAAAGAAAAGACAAAAAATAATACTGTTCATATCAATGCTATTTACCTTCAAGCAGAAGAAAAGCGACAGTGGCAATGTACAGATAAACACAATCAATGATAATCCAGACAGGACATAATAGCATATACCTCTCTCTGTATCATCTAAAGAACAAAATGAAAATTAGAAAAACCATTTTTAATAAGGAAGCAAGCCAGGGCTTAAAATAATGGCCTTTCATTGCAAAAAACCAAAATTGGAACTTGTCTGGTGAAATCTTTGCTTTGCTGGTAATTTTGACTATTGAAGTTGAGGCAAAAACATACTTGGAGGAATAAACTAAATAAGCCTAAATAAGAAGCCCTCTACCAAAATTTTTAATTATTTCAAATGGGTAGAAATGTCAAGTTTGATAATGTGTAATATAAATTAAAGTAATAATAATGATAATAATAACAATAATAATGATAATGGAAACATTATTCTTTTTCTTGAATACAGTTGTAAATCTCTCTACATATAGGCAATTGACAACTGGCTACTTGAAATTGATTGATATATAAATGATATAGATATTTATATAAAAAGGAAATTAAAATTTCATTAAGTCTGGGCTTTCCCAAATCTTATTTTTACAACAAAATATATAATATGTGGCTCTAATGGCAAGATTCATAATAATAATAATAATAATAATAATAATAATAATARTARTARTAATGGGATTAACAGTGGATTCCACAGAGTGGCTTTTCTTTCACTGGATTAGCTCTGTCATATATTAGTTTAATCATGTTAAGTGAACATATTTTTGTGCTATACAAAAGTACCATGCAACTAAATCCTAGTCAAGGCAGAGTTTTAAGCTAATGAATGTGGTCAGACAACTGAAGTAGAATTGAAGTGGAATTAAATCCATGTACCAATCTTATCCTTTATTCATGTATCAATATTTTATAGTCAGATTATGACCATAAAAAAATTACTTCAAAATTTAGCTTTTAGTTTCTATGCCTTGACATTACTACAAGTCTCGATATTTTGCACACTCGGTAGCTGCAAGTCGCTTGTTTGAATTTGGGTTGTTAATACCTCCAGCCAAGAATATTTCAAGGGTGGTGTTGACTGATTAGATTTGATAGAGGACAGGAAAAAAATCATTTCTACAACAAGCCGATAAAATATGTCTGAGTTTGCAAAATATTGGGAATACTACCATTTCCAGTTCGTCTTTGCTCAGTCTTAGCCTCGATTGAGTACGAATGTGTTTTTTTTTTTTACTTAACGTCCATTGTATTGTAATGAGCGTACGTGCTATGGAAGAATAGAAGTTGATTAAAATGCCACGAGTCTTGGTTGAATAGTGGAATATAATAACATTAAGGCTGAGAAACAAGAACTTGAAACTGGAGTATTGCAGTAGAAAATCATAGAGATCCTTTGATCAAATTTTTTCTTATTTTGATGAAAAATGTGAAAAGAATAAAGAATGAATAGGATGTGGTCATAGCTAAGATAAGTCAATTTGCAGGTAATATTTTATTTTAAGTTGAAATTCAAAATAACATGATAATTTTTACAGTGATTTTTTTAATATTTCATTTTAAAGTCAGTAACCACGATATTCTGAAAAAAAACTTTCGGTACGAATTTTATAAAAACAAATTTATGTAAGCGTAAAATTTAAATATTTTAAAATTACAAAACGTTCAAATTTAATTGAACATCTTTTTGAATAATATAAAAATCTTTTGAGATAAATAAATGTTTTAAATATGATATGAAGATTGTTGGATTTCTAGGTCAGTCTTATAATATTTAGATAAGCTTTGAAAATAAAATTAAGATTTAATGCTTCAAATTTTACATTTATTTTATTCGCACTTATACGGTTAAATTCCGAGTAAACAGGCGCGGAATATTTAAAGAAACACTTGAAAATTCTTATTTCACCGGTTCTTATAGATAAAAGAAAATACAAACCCAAAAGTTCCACCAAATATTATTAAGATTAACTTCATGAAAATTTAAATTTCGCAATTTTAAAACGAAAAAAAACAGTTGACCAAAATACTCAAATAAAAAATACTGTTTTGTTACTAGATCTATGCACCATACATTTAATTAAACAACAACTAAAACCTTGTCTGCTCCTTTAAAAAGGTTGAAAGAGTTATTAATTTGAGGTTTTAAAGCAGAACTACAAGTTTTTATTAAGCTTGAAGTAAGCTAACGTAAGGAGATGGAGGGAGGGAACGAAGGAAGGACCCGCATTGGAGTCGTTAGGTCGTCGGTAAACCCAATTTTTTCGACCATTTGAGTGGTTCTAGTCGTTATGCTGAATAAGAAGAAAGTAAACCTAAGCTTTGAGTTCGTTTTTTTGCAGTAAATAGAAGTTAAAGTATTTGTTACGAGAGGTTTTCACCCGCCAACATTGTCAACCACCATACATGGATGAGTTTTCGTTGGCGAAGGAGTTGACAGGTGTTGGTGTGTAGCTAGATTATACTAACAGCTGCCTTAATCTTAGATATCTAACAAACAACGTACACTCGCAACACAACTCCCTACAACACGAACTAAACCATACAGTCGCTATTACTTCCAAGTAAACACCATTTGAGAGTTAAATACGGATTAAAGATATCAAAATGGCTGCGAGCGAAGTCGATGCCCGATGCAGAATATGCGAAGCCCAAGCTACCGGACCTTTCGCAAATTCATCGATGAAAACATGGCGATAAGAATACGTTCGATGATTTACTTTAACTTTAAGGTTATTACCTTGTGAGTTCTCGGCAGCTTCTATTTGGTTCGACATCTTTTCGTGTCCCATACGTTATACAAAGCGACTATACTTGAGCCTCTGCCTCGGGTCTGTTTATGACAAAGGTATATGTACTGAATGGCATGACGTCATGTTTCCAGTTATATACTCTTGTTATAATCACTCAATAACATGCGCATCTCACGGACCCTAAACGAAGCCACAGCGCAGGTCCGTAAGTGAAAACAGTTGCTTGATGATTCTCTCCTGTGCTTCGGAGGGTTTTCTCCGGTTTTCATCCCTTCCTGTGGACATTATTAGAAAGCCGCATTCAAGTTTGTTAGTTATTTTTCTAGTCTGTCCCTTGGGTTACTGAATAAAGGTCATACCGCGCAAGTGCTACCCTCGCTGGTAAAACTCAAAATTCTTCCCAGTGCAGGCCCTCCCCGTACCGGATACCATAGGAAAGAGAAGCATAAGACAATGTATATGAAAAACTCTTTTATTACTTATTTTCATGATTAGTCTAGCTTGAATATTTTTGATACACAATAGATATCTGAATTATATTTTAAAGCGTCATGCAATTCACACGGGTACGAAAGTGTTATATAATGTACGCGGTTGTCACTTACGTATACATAGCCACGACGCTCACTGCCTTGAGTAGGGGAGTAAGCGTTGCGTGATAAACGTTGATAGCTTTACGTGGGTGAAATTCACGACTTCAAATAATTGGCAGAAACAACACTAAACCCTTAATTTACACAATCGACACTGAAGTGGAGACGCCACGAATCCCTATACTTTCTAACCTGGCGCAATCAATGGAACTAAATCAAACGTTCGATTCCATCTAATGAAATCGAATAAACGCGAAAATTGGAACCAATCTAAAATTCGACTACTTTCGATTGTACTTCGATTACGCAATTTTCTTAGCATTCTATTTTGTTCGATTGCCGAATCCAATCATGTGCCGTTGCGTTCGATAGAATTCGATTTCCGAATCATTCGATCGATTTCGAATGCGCGTTCCCTGTCAATATTTCGTTATCCTTTTGCGCAAAGCTTCAAAATCCTAAAGCGCCTGTTTTCTAATGCGCGCAGAGCGTCGCTTGAACTTTTATATGACCAGAGATCAATAAACGAGACAAATCCATTATGTGACTTTACTGCGAGATTTCTTGCATCGTATTGCTTCCACGATATGCGTGTGGCGAAACTTGTTATCGTACTCGCCTTCTCGATAATCGGTGAAAAACGAAGAAATTTCGCAGTAATGTGACATTTCATTTTCGTAATTCTTAGCCAGAATACAAACACTGAACTTCACAAAAGCCGAACTCGATGGCATATTAGAACACTGCCTTCAATGGGTGCGTTAGTCATTAGAGAGTTTTAGATTTACGTTCACGGCAAACGTGAAACGTCAGTTGACCAGTGAAAATTATTTTGAATAGCTGAGAAAGAATCGCAAAAAAAGTCCAAGTAGTAGAAAAACAAAAGAATATTTGTGTTTAGTAAGAAAGTTTGCAAGAGATTAAGATAAATACAGGAAAACGATGAAAACGTGGTCACGTTTGCCGTTTGCGTGGAGAGAAAAAAAGTTAATCTAAAACTCTCTATTATGCCGCACCCCGCGCGCATTTAATGTGCTCCATTTATGCGAAAACTTTAATCGATGTGAAACTGTTTTCATTTGCATTGACCAATATAGCTTCTTGCTTAGATCTCCTCCTGTTGCGCTTGACGACGCCTCAGCATGGATAAAAAATTGATATCTTTTCAAATTCATCCGCCCACGCTCATTTTCAGCATTTAGATTAGATTAGATCAGTCACCGGCAAGGTACGGAATTGAAGACATTACATTTTGTTATTTTAGTTTTCAGCCAATCAGATTGTCCTCACGATGACAGCACGTTTTCCCCGCAGTCAAACGAAATCTGTACCAAACAACACACAGCAACCTCGACGTACCCGACCCACCCAGCAAAAAAAAACAAAAAAAACACCTTAATTATAGTTGTTATAGCTACTTGCTAGCTCTTCCGATACAGTGGATATTGTTTCCTCTCGCTTCCAGTGAATTGCCTTCTCTCTATCTATGGGCTACCTATGGTTTCTTCTGGAATGAGTTGATTGACAAGCGTCTGTTAGTTAATAAATTTGTATCGATACAGGTGCCGTTGTATTCCTATGTAGTCTAGTGTACCAAATTTTGTATGACTGTAAAAAAACTTATCATATGACGTCGTATGTAGGCGTACGGCTTTTTTCAGCGTTGCGTGGTATCCAACTTAAGTTGTTTTTCCGAAATAATTCTATCCATATTGCCAAGTGAAAACTGCAACAACTCGTGTAAGAAATGGCTGAAAGTTATGAAAAATGAAACCACAAATTTCCTGGCAAAACTAGTGCGGGAATCTCCTTCAACTGTTTTTCAATTTTCATCCAGCCATTTTTAATGCGCGCACACAATACTTCATATTACTGAGAAAAAGAATAGTTTTCAACCCCTTCCGCTTCTTTTGGAGGTATGTTGTCTTGCCTTTCTCGAATGAATTACACAGAACTTATACTGAAAACATATAATATATTTGTGCAAAAAATCTCTATTTATAATTTATGGCATAAAAAATTGTCTATGTACAAGACGTCCTTATAAAGGCGGTCCATTGATACCCGGATGTAGAAAATGACAAGAATCTCCCCTGAGGCACCCCCTTTGGGAGACAAAATGACGACATAGAGGCGCAGGGCCTCGACCTCTGCCCCTGCCACGCCCTCGACCTCGAAGACCACCTCTTCCTCTGCCACGCATGTTTGGTCCACCAATATCGTCTCCTTCAAAGCCTTCTTGTTCTTCTGGGAAATCTTCACGATTTGTCTGTATTAGAAAAACACACGATAAGAGTCAAGTTATTTACAAACAAAAAATATTGAGATAGCAGCAGTGCATCCGCCTTTCACCTCTAAGGTGCTGGGCTAACCCTGAGTGAATCAGTCTGTAATCAAGGAACACAGTGGTAATTTGGAATTCGAAACTAGTTTATTGGCATTTGTTAGGTTTCCCTCCCTTCCATCTGTGAGTTAACCATGCCCAGAGTTTTGTTCAGGTGTTTTTAAACGGTTCAAACCTTTGAGGTAGCCGTGCCCTGACGTTGATCAGGGCCAAAGAGTTGTACAAAAAGGGTTGATAGCGCTATCCGATGGATGAATGCTTAACCAGTGGATAGATAAGCCAATGCTGTTATCCGATAAATTTATCGACTGGATCAGATTTATCCATCGGATAGCGCTATCAACCCTTTGTACGACCAGGTTGACCAAAAGTTGTTTCAGGGCGGGGTATCGACGAAAAAAAATTTTCTGACCGAATGACTAGAACTCTTACCAATTCCGGTATTAACGGTCGAGGTCCATGCATTCTCGGAGGCATTTGGCCCCGTATTGGTCCCTCTGGTCCTTGAAATGGTCCATTGGGTCTAGGGCCGCCTGGGCCTTGAAATCGTGCTCGTGGGTCTGGTCGAAAGGGAGGTCCTCGAGGTCCTCTGGGACCAAACTGTCCTGGTGGTCCCATTTGATTCATAGCGGGGCCCGAGTCTCCAGGACCTAAGTATCACAAAACACATTGATCAGTATATTAGCTAATCCATTAAAACAACAGGAGTTGGACCCCTTCTTAGCAGAAACTTCAAGGAACTTTGTCTATGCATATTTAGAGTAGATTTTGCATAACAGAGAAACGGTACAGCACAGCATCATCACAGGGCGCGAGTCAGACTGCTCATCCAATCAGAATGCACAGCTGCGGTACCGTCACATTCACGGCACGCCCATGCCATGCCGTGCGTTCTTCACAGTGTCTATAATACTAGGCGTGAGCTGCCGTACAAAGATCCCAACAGAATATTTCCGAATGATCTTTTGCTCGTTCTAATGTAGATCAACCCAGCGAACTTACCTACTCCAAGGAGCCCCATTCCAGGAGTGCCGGTCGGTCGCGGTGCTCCTGACTTATTCTGAAGTGGTTCGAGTATATTTTTAAGAGCATTGGGATGTTGAGATCCACCTTCTTGTGGTTGTTGTTGCTGCTGTTGATTCTTCACGTTGGATAACCACTGATTTAATTGATTGGGCTGTCCGCCACTTGTTGACTAAAAATATAATGATTCCAGTTTAAACGTGCAACTATTAAACACGACACTCAAATGGTTTCCTTACGCAATGACACTTGAATGGTCTCTACATACGACACTCAAATGGTTTCCGCATGCGACACTCGATAATTAAACGGCCAACTTTATGACACTCAAATAGCTTTTTCCTTCAATGGGTTTTTTCCCCTTCACAACGACAGTCAAATCTTAACTGAAGTTCTGTAAAGCGATAAGATGGGCTCAAAAGAACCCCTTACAAACTTCATGGGAAAGTCTAAAAAATACAGGTAAAAATATAGTAATTCTTACCATTATCTTGTCCAGAAGTGACTGCACTGAAACTGGGTCAGCTGTAATAAAACCAAAAAAAATTATTACACGAACAATAAAATAGAAAGAAATGCAAGGAAGGAAAGAAGGAAGGAAGGAAGGAAGGAAGGAAAGAAGAAAGGAAGAAAAGTGTCTTACACTTACCAGAAGGAGGAGGGTTCGTTGCAGGAGCTCCTATAATACCAAACAACAGGTGAGTGGTGAGTCACTTCGGGATTATTAAAATAAATGCAAAAACTCTAAACTAGACATTCACTATTTTTCCGGGAGAAGATCGAGGGTAGCGCTATTCTTACCTGAGAATAAAGAGGCTAAGGCAGCAGGTAGCTGGACTGGTGCAGTAGTTGCAGGAGGCGTTGTCGTTGCTTGCTTGGGTGGAAGATGCGTGGTTCCTTTCTGGATTATGATGTGAAAAAATAACGAGATGAAAAATTTGATTAAATGAAATGATTATTGTATTCTTCTAATCAGTCCAGGCACTGTTGTTGGTCTGTCTGTCCTTGGTAAGGCCTGCTGCGATTTATTGTTCCGATTCTTCGTATGTGTTGGGAAGTCAGCGTGTGTGCATTTTAGTGCCCAGTTCAGGCCTGATTTGAATGCTCTACTTTGTGAAAAATTAGGAAGTTTTAAGAAAATCTAAGACAGTACTTCAGATTTAGTAAATCTGGCCAATTCAATTTTTTGTTATCGGCCTTAAATCGGAATCTAAGCTACGCTCATATTTGCTTTCCGATTGCATCGGGCCGATAAATCTGGCCAAGAAATTGCAGCGTGTATTCCCCACTTTAGTCTGTACACCTATCAGTCTTTGCCTGTGCGTTTGTCCTTTCCAAATGACTTACCTCATCATGTGGGATCGCTTTAGGTTCCCCCGTCACTTTCTTGTCAGGTTCAATCTCAGGTTCAGCAGGACTATCTGGCAAACTAGACACACAATCAAACAAGATAAATACCTTGGCAAGTATTAAAGAAGCTACATGCAACCTAAGTACAACCCTAAAACCTACCTTGACTTGGAAAAGAAGATATCAGCAAGGACACTGGACTCTCTTTCTTTCTGCAGTAAAAGAACAAATATTTATGTATTTTTATCAATTAACACCTAACAAGCTAAACTACAATTCAATCTGTGAGTTAGCCATGCCCTGACTTAGATCAGCCCAGAGGTTGTTTCAGGGTTCAATCTGTGAGTTAGCCATGCCCTGACTCAGATCAGCTCAGAAATTGTTTCAAGGTTCAACCAGCGTGATACTCTTGCCCTGACTTAGATTAGCCCAGAGATTGTCTCAGGGTTGCATAATCTGTAAATAAGCCATGCCGTGACTTTGGTAAGCCAAGCAGTCGTTTCAGGATATCATTAAAAGGTGGAAGGAGGGGATCATGAGGCACTCCAGTTTCCAAACCATTATTGCTCAGGGTTAGCCTCGAAAAGTTTAACACCAACCTGTATTTTTTTCTCTTCACTTTTTGATCCATATTCTACAGGGAACACCATTCCATCTATCGGCTTTGGTTTGTACCACTGTTGTAAAAATAATAATCTCACTTGAGTTTAAATTAGAAATTATGTTAGGACTGGCTATTACGATCAACCAAGGGTGAATACAGGGGGGGGGGGGGCAGGAAAAAAAACTAAACTAAACTAAAGAATTAGATGCTTTTTTTATTGTTTTCCGTTGTGTCAACGGAAGAAACTCAATTAGCCCCCCTAAAACTTTGGCTGGATCCGCCCTTGTCAACCCGCACCATACTGTAAGGTGTCAGGTAGTGGTCAGCCAATCAAAATAGGCATTAGGACCAGTGTTATTTAACAATTATTAGCTGAAGGCAAAGTAAATATCGGGAAATATTTATATAATTCTCTGATATTCACCGAGGCTGAGGCATGAAATATTAGCTTTAGTATAAATACACAGGTGATTCTTTCAAAAAAAAGAAAAAACAGAAGTAAAAAGACACACTTTTCCCCGGTAACAGCAACAAAGTGGCTAGCCGCCATTTTGGATTATCGCTGGAGGTGATTATCGTGTAATAGTGTGAGTTTCTCAACCAATCAGCGTGCGCAATTTTCAATAATCACCTGTGTATTTTAATTAAAATTGGATAGTATAAATATTGATGAAGTTGGTTTTTTTTGTTTTTTGAGGTTTTTTGCAGGAAGAGATGTGGCAGGAAACACAGGTTACATTGCAGCAGTGTCCAAATGCAATCCTAATCAAACAATCATCCCCCTACCTTGACTTTCTCAATCATCTTGTCTTCATTTAATCTTTTAGCTTTCTCTAGTAACTGTGACCAAAGACAAAAACAATTTAAGAATTTGTACTGTAATTTGTACTGTTTGTAAAGGTCTTGAGAATAGACTAGGTACTATCGATTTTTTGTTTTTTTCTTTTGCCTTACCTCTCTCTCATGCATCATTTCTTTATGAGCAGCATTAATGAAGTTAATTGGATGTCGGATAGTAGCTATTATATAAAACAAAAGGGTATTAAACTACTATTACTTGTATCTCTCTTGAATACAATATTCGTCTTCATCATCAGGCCTTATTATCATTATCATCATGTATCGTCATCATCATCATCAGATATCATCACCAGTACCACTATCATTATCATGTATCAGGCACCATCACCATCTTTATCATCATATTCATCATCATCATCATCTCTGCACCATCATCATCATCATCATCTCCGCACCATCATCATCATATTCATCATCATCATCATCTCTGCACCATCATCATAATCATCATCATCTCCACACCATCATCATCACATACATCACCATCATCATTACCATCATCACCACCATCATCTTCAAATGGGCAAAGCTATAGAAATGGAACAGTCCATACAGACATCCATGTGCTTTTCACAGGAAACAGAGAGCAAATGCAGACTAGGACAAAAGGCTTTTCCCCTAAGTAACCCTCTATACCGTAGCCTTGCATCCAAGAAGAGGTCCATTTTACTCAATCTCACCTCGTTCATCCTCATCTATCTCAAAGAAGTGATAAGAAGCTATTTTGTGGTCTTCTGGCCAAGTAACAATTCTTCCTTTTTTGTTGGGTTTCTTGGCAGGTGCTGGTTCTATCTCTACATCTTCGGCAGTAGTTGTTGATGGTGTTGAAGAATCTAAAAAAATTGATTATTCATTTATAAATTAAAAGATATCTGGGCTTATATAAGTCAGAGCATGGCTAACTCACTTATGGAATTAGAWTTTAGCTTGTTCGGTTTTGTGGAAGGAAGAAAACTAGTCTAAGAAAGGAAAGTCGGAGCGTTATTTTTAACAGGGGGGAGGCTACGATTCAGATTATATATAAGTGATATAAAACATGGAAGGAGATGTGCAAATTTATGCCAATCTCTGACGTTCCTGTAAGAGTACCCAGATAAAACCCCTTGAATCAGTGCAGAGAGCTAAATATCTCTGCTCATGAATTGAAAGCAAGACCCAACAGATATAAGAGGAGATTGTACTACCACTACACCACCCTTGATTTTAACTTAAATTATGAAGAAACTTACTTGAATCGACAACTTTATCCTTGTCAACATTCTGAAAAATTTAAAAAGTCAAGGTTGAAGAAATATTACATAACAGTAATAATAGTATTACCATAAATTTAATAGATTCTACAAAAAGGTGAATTTACAGTGCTGAATTTACCAAAAAAAAAAAAATAGTACATACCTCTGAAACCTTTGTGAAGTCAGCAGCATCTCCAACTAAGTATCAAAAAAAAATATCATTGCTAAAAATTTGAGCCAAAAAGGTTCAAATTTATTTTAATTAGATGTACTGTGCAGACACACTTACCAGGACCACTACAGCAAAATTATCAGTATCATATCAACCTTGGCCAATCACAATCACTTATTTCTATGGTTATTGATGACTTCTAAATGATTTCTCAGTTATCTAGGCATTGTTGCTTGCTCCTGATTGGTTAAAGTTTGACTGTTTTCAAAAAAATCTATCAGTTTTCTCTGTAATCACAGAATGGGACAATCACGAACAGAACCCTCAGATCCATGCTAGGTGAAAGCCCAAGATTGAATATGGAATTTAGAAGTTGATTTTTGGAGGGAGGAAAACCAGAGAACCTGGATAACTCTCGAAGCACAGGAGAGAACCAACAAGCAACTCAACTCACATACAAAACCGAGCTCGTAGGGACTAGAACCCAGGTCACATTGGTGAGAGGCGAGCCCTCTCACTGCTATGCCACCCATGCTTCCCACATCTTTTCATTCTCAATGTCAGTATTGGTTAACTTTCTTTAAGTGGTCCTGGTTAGTTAGTTTGCCCAGTAACTGCAACTTAGTTATGCCATATCTTGATAAACATTTTATTGCGTTATTAAACTACATTTTATTCTTTTGTATAGGGGGAGTCAGGCTTCACTTGGACCATTGAACCACTCTTAGCCATGGTTCTGCTCTGGAAGTATGTAGCTTATTGCCTCTTCAAGTCCATTCTTGATATTCAACTCTCACTTAAGTTTAGGTTTCATACGAAGGTCTTACCTTGAAGAGAGCCATTTTGAGGTGAGTTTTCGTCACCTGCTGAGGTTTTCCCATTAGTGCCAGCACTATTTTCATCACCTTTACTTTTAAGTTTTTCTTCAAAACCATGGGTTTGTGATTGATTGCTCATGATTTCATCCAGAATACCCCCAGAAAATGCAGGCTGAGAAAGAGAATACAATATCATCATGATGATCAATGAGTAATTTAAAACTCTAATAACTGCATTGATTGACTTAGGCTTAGATTTTCGAAAAATGTCAGTCACAATAAAAGACAGTCTTTCTGTAGACTACCCTCACCCACATGATTACCATCAACACAATCATCATATGATCCTGGGTTCAAACTCTTCACTCTATCATCACAACTATTACCATTACCTACAAATATTTTTACAATTTTACTTTATCAAGATATAAATATAAAAAAGGATTTCAAAAAGATATAAATATATATATACAAATATCCATACCTCCACCATGGAGGGAATTTGTAAAATGACCCCCCTGTCCCCAGGAACTTCCAATTTTTCCTTTCATTGACCCCTCTCCACTCCAGAATTTCCAATTTCCTCCGTGGGTGAGGTATGGGTATTTTGTGACACCACACATTATGTGAATGCCTCTCACAAACCTTCCCAGAGTAGGTAAGGTATTGAAAATGTTTTTTTTTTACCTTGGATGCTCCATTACTCGAGGTGGATGTGGTAGTTGTTGGGGAGGCCGATGTCTAAAAGAATGAATTGAAATTTTTGTTTAAAAAATTCACTGTACATAGGTCCATTGAATTATGATGCAATGATGACAATTTCTAAGCACTAGTAGGATTTGCGTCAACAGGTGTACCTTTTGCGATGTTGCTGCTGCTCGTTTTCTTTTCTTGATTGGTGCAGGAACTGCTGCTGTTGCTAATGCATTCATAAACCCAGCACTTTCTATTGCAATTACTGCAATTAAAAAAAAGGATCTTGAGTTATAGTAATGATAAAAAGGTAAATTCTACACCATGAAAAGATGAAAAACTTACTGACGTTTCGGACGCTAGTCCTTCGTCAAAGTAAAAGAGTTATATATATATATCTTGAAAGTTGGTGTAGGTTATGGATAACCCTTTAGACATTCAGGCAAATCCTCATCAATCAATCAAGACACTCTTCAGGCAGACATTCAAATTGTTCAATTGTCTATCGGTCTTTCAGCCAGTTGGTCAGTCGGTCAATCAGTCAGTCAGACATCAACCTACCCAATCCTTTAGACAGTCATTCAGAGAGTTAATCAGACAGCCAGTCAGTTACCAACCCACCTAYTCACGTGTCACAAACTCTTTAAATTGAGTAACTCACCAATCAACAAAGGAACAGCGAGGGGGCAAGGGGAAAATAACAAAAAATTTTCTCTCAATATACATAAACAAGTTGTACACAAGTAGTATATCAGAAGAAAATGAGAGAGAAAAGTTTCTATGTATAACTTCTAAGCATGTTCCATATACCTTTACTAAGTTCTTTTTTGATTTTTGGTTTCCCTTCATTAGTTTTAGTTTTTTTCTCGGGTATAGAGGAATTGGCTTCTCCCTGTTGGACTTCCCTAGAAAAGAAAAATTAACCTCATATAAGCATTTAGATTATTTTTCTACAGCCATCAACTCTGCTTTTCGGCAACCAGACCCTGACCACAGCCTGTGATCAGCCTAGAGGTTTTTGCCAGGGATACATATTAGACACTTTGGACCATCAAATGATGTCAGCCTTGGCAGGAAGCACAGTGGTAGAATTGTTTACCCCTGGGAAACTAAATTCCTTCTCTTGTAAATCAGACGAGTCTAGATTCAATTGTTCATGCTTCCTGTCACGTGATAATGCAAAGCCTCTATTGATAAAAATCCAAGATTAAAGATGAAATTATCCTATTACTGCTTATGAAATAATTTTTTTTTACCTTAGTCTTTTGACTGACTTTGCTTCAGAACTTGAATCTATAAAAGAAAAAGAAATTACATCTTTTCCAGGTAAATCTTAAATGAAAATAAAATAGTATTCTATCATTCCTTTTCTTGGCAAGGAGTTTCTTATTACGTTTGGTGAAGGGGTAAGAAAGTGGTAAACTCATATCCTTTGATAATCTGTTGCAGAGCTGAAAATTTTTCTGGATTCCTTCTAACTAATGCCAATAAAAAACCCTAAACTTCTTCTAGGAACTAATTGATTAATATCTTTTGTGACCTTTGTTGTGACATTTACAGCCATTCTCAATCACACGTGTCCTCTAGAGATTGTTTCTGTTGCAACAAAGAAGGTTTTGGTGGACGTCAATCACAAGGCGTTTCCATAACATTGTCGGAAAACACAAAGCCATAAGGGCATGTGCCTATAGAATGTCATGGAAATGCCTTGATTGACGTCCACCAAAAGCTTCTTCATTGCGAAAAAACAATTGTTAGAGCAATGTGTGTGATTGAGAATGGCTGTAACAGTTTAGTATGGTGTTTTATTTTGGTCAATCTTGTATTTTTCATGTCTACAATAATATTAATATTATGACAAACCTTTTGATAACATGACATTATCTAAGGATGAATCAGACGTTTGTGACGCAGTCTCCAAGTCATCATTTTGCTTTAACTTTTCTAATTTTTCTGGCTTTTCAGGCCCTAAAGATAAAGAACAATACTACAATAAATACAGTACTATGATCACTTTGAAAAATGAATGACTTCTGCAAAACAAGATTGTTCCTCCCTCATTGAAAATTAAATTTCAAGACTATATAAAACTTATACATTTAACCAATGACTATCATTATTCCCGTACATTAAATGTAATTTATTAATAAATTATAAATGTTATTAATGATTCTCACCTGACTTGGTTCTTATAAGAGACATCCACTGCTTAAGGATGCCATTGGAAAGTTTTTTAACTTCTGAAAAAAATGAAAACAAAACATTGATCCATATGTAAACTAAATGAGTCTCATATAAAAAAGCAATTCTTTTTTTGAGAACTAATAAATATTATAGAGTAAGACTGAGGTTAAATGTCGAACTTCACATGAGCCAAACCTAATGTCATTAAAAAAGACCTTGTTATCCATTGTTTCAATTAGGTTTGGCTCATGTGAAGTTTGACTTTTCACCTATGCCTAAATGTTTCATTTTTAATAGTACCTTTATTATCAACTTTGGTTAAATATTTTACAATCTTTCCCATATTGCCCTAGAAAAAGAGGAACATTAATACCAAAAATATTATTTAATGTCATTATAAACGGATGAGGAATTGACAATGACTATTGTGTTACCTGCTTTAGAGTATCCACAGATACAGGCAGCTCCTTCAGCACCTAAAACATATTTTTTCACAATATAAGATTCACTTTAAAGCTATAAGCATGGGGCCATACACACTCCTTACTACATTCCCTACAACTTATATCATGGATATTTTTTCAGCTTTCCTCCTTCCTCCTTTCAACACACTCTCTATGGTTTGTTATGGCTATTTTCTTGAATTACGCAATATACCAGATCCTTCCTGTTCCTTGGAAATTCCAGTCTTCTCAATAGCAGAAGAATATTTCTGGAGCTAGGCAATACTTTATTAAAATACTTTGGTAAAACAAATACAATACTAGATGTTTGATCAATATTTCACCTCCAATAATTCTATCAAAATGGAAAAATTATCAGTCTTCTTGCCATCAGACAGCCATTTGTTAAGCACTGCCCATCCTCCAATAGACACAAATCTGACAAACAATAACAAAAAGGATTTAAGTGATTGGGATTCCTGTGGCTATTCAAAGTTAAAGCCATTATTTCTACACTGTCCTATAATAATAAAAATAATAATAATGATGATAATAATAATAATAATAATAATAATAATAATAATAATAATAATAACTCTATTAATGTCTCTATTTCTTCTAGCCGGGCACAAGTGCACTACTAATCCAGGAGACAAAAAATAAATAAATAAATAGATAAATAAATAAATAGATGTAAATATTGGTGGTTTTCAACCATTCCCAAGAGGATCGACAGAGACATGGCGGCCATGCTGGTGGACAGTTACAAAAGGGCCTAATGAGAAGTCTTTTGCTAAAATCCACCAGATGACGTAACGTGAAAATGAAGAATAACAGTAGCTTTTGTTTAGTAGGTCTAGCAGTGAGGTCATTCAGGTTGGCAGGAAGTAATTAGACTTACTTTTCCAGTGTCTCATTTGACTGTTTGTTTTCCTTCGCCATAGAGATTGTAGATTTAAGAATGTTCATGTATACACATCGACTCATTAACTTTTCAGCATCCCTCATTAAACTATTCAAAAACATCAAATTATACAAGAAATAAGAATGGTTTTCATAAACATAGTTATTGATAAATTTATCTATTTGTCGTTAGTCTTTGAAGTTTTTAAATTTCAAATCACCTGTCATTTCCTAAAAGATTATTTCTTTGTTCAACAGTTGTACACAAGAAAACACATTCAATAAACACCACTATTATTTCTTTATTTAATGGCTGTACATGCATGGGAAGACACATGAATATGGATACAACTCCAACAAATAATCTTATTCTCAAGAGAATGACATGTGGTCTGAAATGGGAAAACATTACTTGCAGTTTTGGAACAGTGCATAATATACAAGTGAAATGGGGTTTCTGAAGGGTAGGGATGATAATAGAATGCATGAAAGGGAGAGTTTTTTATAGCAACACCTCTATGAATTGGACACCTTCAAGACCTTGCCTTCTAGTGTCTGCTTAATGAAGGGTGTCTGCTAATTAGAGGTTTGTTTTACAGTAAATATGGGATAAGAAAACTTCAGAACCGTGTTCCTACCTGTATGGTGTCCAGTAAATAAGGGGTCTCCTAATATAGTAAGTATCATTGCAGTGTAGTTCCAGAAAATATCCACCACGGAGGGAATTTGTAAAAGACCCGATACCCCCAGGAACTTCCAATTCACTTCCAAACAAGTGTATCTTTAAAGTTTATCTTGATTGAGATAAGTTACCTTATAATTCTAACAACTTCTTGAGGAGACTTGATGTCCCCAAATTGACCCAACATTGGCTTCAGAGCATTGAGCAGTGTTTTTGGCTCACCGCCAGATGTTCCCTATTAACAATAATAAAAAAGTTATTACAGCATTAATGACATGTAGGAAATATATAAGCCTTAGTTTTATGGGTAGCATGGGTGGCGTTCGTTGCTAACGCGTCATCTTTCACCGCTGTGAGTCCGACAGGTCGGGTCGTTGGTTCGAGCCCTGCAGTCGTTACATGTGAATCGAGTTTGTTTGACATGTTGTTCTCTCCTATGCTACGATAGTTTTCTCCGGGTTCTCCGGTTTCCTCCCTCCGTAAAAATCAACATGTGAGCTGAGTGTTGTGTGCATAGAACATTTTAATGTAGTGGTAGTGCGTGTGAGCGAAAAATGTCCCCAATTAGTGCGAAAGCGCTAGAACGACTAGACACTTAAATAAAAGTGTTTTTTTTTTTTAAATTCTTTATGGATGTAATGTTAACAATTTATTAACTATGAGTAAATGGTTTGAACCCAGGTGTTGAAGGTTGTTGTGAAGTGTGATCGTCTGGGTGAGTGTAGTTTTGAGAGAAACTGTTGGTGGTGGTGACTGACATTTCGACAACCTGAGCAGAATTTAGCCATCTTTAGAGTCCAGTGAGAAAACAAGTGTTGAGTAAACTGGACTCTGAAGATGACTTCTGCTCAGGTTGTCCAAACGTCAGTCACCAACCAACAACAGACTACACTCACCCGGATGATCACATTTCACAACAAATAATTTTAAAATTTTGTGGAACTTTAACTGTAAGCAAGCTATTTCTCAACATCGCTAAAAAATGAAAATAAAATTAACACTATCATATTAGAGTGCAAACAATATAACCTTGAAACTTTAGTAATACTAAATAGCACAATTTCGTGCAAATTCCATTGTTTTCTATTGTTTGATTAGCACTATTTTGTACTATTTAGTAATTAGTGTTTCACGGATTAATTATTGTTTGAATAATGGGGTACTTCTATAGCGCATTTCAAATATCTCAATGCGCTTCACAATCATGACCAGTGGAGGATTTTACGGGCTGCGTATTTAGGCGCTAGTAGCAGCCATGCAGCTTACAATCATGAGTGACTTGTTAGTAAGTTAGTATTAATGCCTCCAGATTGGGATTTGTTTGCACTCTATAGCAATAAATATATATCAAAGTTTACCATTTTTTGCTCCTCAGATCTGAGTTTCAATCTGAAATGAAAAAATTTAAATTTTGGAATTAGATTGCTGCTTTACCTATTTACCATTAGTTATATTGAACAGTTTCATGATCATAGTAGTTCATAATAATACAGTACAAAGGAAATAGTTCTGCGTTTTCTGGAATTGAATTTTAAAAAAGAGTTTCAGAGTACACATACTAATTTTATTCGGCAAAGGGAAAAAAGCAAAACATGAAATGATAAATAACATACATAAAAGTTTTAGAACTAAACTAAAATGTACTTTGAGAATATTTAATATATATATATATATATATATATATAATTTTTTCAAGTGTTGGGGGTTGATAAAATTTCTTATGCATTGTGAACCAATATCTTAGATGACATACATACATCCTTCTTCCATTATTAGTCCTTGTAGATTTCATTTGAACAAGAATATAGAAACAAGTTAAACGTAACCTTTTGAAGCTATAAATCCAATAAACTAAGAGTAAAACCAAACTTTTGTAATGCGCAAGTTAAAAATAAATTATCTATATTGCTACCAGGAAATTTTTCCTTAAGGGCAATTCTTTTATGCTTAAAAGTCAAGGCTTCAATGAAAATTTTAGTTCAAAAAATTGAATGTTTTGAAAAGTTCATATTTTAAAAATGCCTTTCTCAAGACTGCAATAACTACGAAAATTATTCAATTTTACCTAAATTTGAGGAATGGAAGAAGAATCAAAATATATAAACAGTCATTTTTTACTATTTTTTGAGTCAATGTAATAATAAAGTTACCGAAAGAACTGGGAGAATTATTGTGTAAGTAGATCTATTTTACAAAACTTAGAGAGAAGACTCATTGATAAGGATTTATAATACACATTTAAAGCTATTTAAAAATTCACACAATTGTAATGAATACATCACACTGTGTATAGTTCAAGCACTTCTTTAGAAAAATAAAATATTAAATGTTGTGTGGGAAGAATATAAGAAGTGAAAATGTGTCCGATTTTTCATGCTTTAGCCATACACTTTTCAATTTATAAAAAAAAAAGATTGTCATCTCTCCAAATCATGTAGAAATGCTTTTAACTTTTTATCTAATTCAGTTCTCAAACAGTTCTGCCATGTATTAGGGAAAAAATTGGAGTTAGTGGGAAAATGGGAAGTGTTGAAATACAGTTTAAGAGACAAAGCACTCAAAATATGCCTGGAAAACAAACTTCATTTTATAAAAACAATAAAAGGTTTTAGTCTTTTTCCTCCTTAGCTTTGACAGAGGGAGGGAAGAAAGAAATACAAGAGAAAGATATAATAAAGAAAACATGAATATTAGACTTCAGAATTTTGAAAAATGTAAAAAAAAAAAATCTTCCACCCTAAAATTTTGTTTTCAAGAAAGTAAATTTGTTGATTTTTTTTTTTTTTTTTTTTTCGAGAAAGGAAAAAAAAAATTACACTTTTTACTAAATCTGGAAACGATATTTTTATGATCATATTTTCGTGAAAATACTGAATCAACTTCAATTTTATCAAGATTCTAAATTAGCAATTCAAGCATGTTTGACACATGAATAATTGATGACTTCAACTTTTCTTCCAGTGGAATTACTAAGGGTTTTTCCTACACTATCAGTTATCCTAAAGCAGAAAGACAGACTTGATTTTCAACGAAAATCTTGATCTAATTCTTCGAACAAATTTTTTTAGCAAAAATCGCTCGTCTTTCTCGCTAATAAATTTTGTGCGCAAAGCACCATTTCATGCGAACGTCAAGTTATGACCTAAAAATTTAACTATTATCTTATTTTAACCGACTCTAAATGCAAAATGAAGTCCGAAAAGACTGAATTCAGGGAGAAATATAAGAAAGATTCGAAATGATGCTTCTTTTCGAGAGAAAGAATTTCTTTCCCTAACGCGTCATGTTATGGCGTTTAGTTCGTGTTCCAGGTAATGTGAGTTCTCATTGCTTTGCCTCAGAATCTGATATTTCTTGCAGTCTTTATCTCAGACTGCTTATTTTTCTTCTATTTTGATAAAATATTGAGTATTTCTCTTAAGATGGGACTGAAAAAATGATAAGAACACGTTATTCGATCGCTCGTTTATTAGAGCGAAGAACAAGAAACCTCGAACGCCCAGAGACTCTTGCGATTTCGAATCAACTTACTCTCTATAATCCTTTAAGTTCACTTAGTTCACCGTTTTCCTCTAAGAAGTTTCTTTCGTGAATTCATATACACTCCAGGGCATGTGTATGAAACTTTTAAACTAGACTTTTAAAAACAGTTTTTGAACCTAAAAGAAGAATGTTCAAAAATCCAAGTCGGCATGGCCGTGCCGCTCGAGTTTAGCTTCAACTTCAACTTTCTCAGCTCCCTTTTTCCCACGCTAACGCTTCTTCATGCCCTGAAACTGCACACAAAAGACCTTGGTTAGACCAACTTCGTTACCGTATCGAAATCCGCTCTCAGTGGGTATTTGTGGAGGTAAAAATACAAAGTAAACTTGATGTAGTATGAGATTTAGAATCCAAGATGGCTTACCATTCAGCGCAAACAGGCATCGCCCCGTGCGACGCCTCATGGGCTTATAAGCCACAAACAATAAATACGAACTCTGATTGGTCAATCGCCTGTCAATCAAACTACTGCTGTCATCCTGTCATTTCTTGGAAATTACAAGGCATTATGGGATATCGTATTGAAAGACAGGAACCCCAAACGACCCCAAACTAGTTCTTTTTCGATATAATTTTACCATTGAAAATCCAAGAAAACTTTCTTACTTCATTATAATTTCTTCATTCGCTTTGGTGTTTTTAGGTGGTTTTTGGTGGCATGTATTTTGAATTTCTAAAAATGTTCCTAAATATCATTGCACTTATTTTTGGAATTTTATTACTTTAGGGCTTTCATAAAAACTCTTTTTCTCATTTGTTATGAAAGCTTCTACTTTGCAAAATTTATAAGTAAAAATTAAAAAATCAAAGCTGTCAACCAAACTATTTCAAATGATAATATAAGTTTACCCAATGCATCATGGGTAAGAAGTCCCATTGATTTCTGGGATTGTTAGAAAAACAACATGGCGGCCAAACTTGGTCTAATGAAAAACTCTTTTAGCGTTTTATCATCTTTTCTACCAAAAGCTACTGCTACTACTACGAATATTTCGATACAAAGAATCCCATCTTTTTACTTAGCTGCTAGGAATTTTTCTTCTTTAAGTTTGAAGCAGAAAAATGCGGTCAGTTTAGCTTGGAGCTGCAAGAAAGGTGTTTGTGACACATGGACAGTCTTTACAACTAGATCTATCGCTTCCAAACCTGGTAAAGCTAATTTTATTTAACTGCTATACTTCGTATGTATTACTATAGGATATGGTAGCGAAAACTTCGGGGGAAGGGGAGCCTTAAAAATATTGAACCACAGGGAGCCCAACAAGCTTTTTAATATATCGTTAATAATCGTTAATTATTGAGAAAATACAGGGGTGAGGCGACCTTTTTTCAAAATTCCTCCATGGTGGGGTATGGAAATTTTCTGGAACCAGCAGACATTTTTTGAAATGCAGTACCCGACGCACCTTGTAACATTTTATTTTTTACTGTAATTTCAGGCTCAAGATTTTCGCAGATAGATGAAAACGAAGATGAAGAAAAAGCTTCAAATTCCACAGATAAACTGAAAAAGTAAGTCAGAAAAAAATTGCAAAAAAAGTTTCTTTGATTATTCATTTCACTTATCACATATTTTATTTAATATTTTTAGGTTAACTTTGGATGATATTGTTTTACAGTGGCCAGGTAAAGTATAGATTAATAAATGAAGTAAATTGTTGTCAAACAAATCCAGAAAAAATCAAAATATGATAAGACACAGCTGAAGGAATATTAAGTAATATATACAGTATGAGTGGCTGTGTTGTATCAGAAATACAACCACGAGGCATAGCCGAGTGATTGCATATCTGATACAACACGGACACGAATACTGTATATGACTTATCAAACCTCTAGGTTAGTTCCTTTGAGTTTCACTAAAATTTTCAAAATTAAAGTGAATTTGGCCAAGAAAATCCAAGTTAAAGTTTATGCAAATGAACACAGTTTTGTATCAGATGTGCAACACTCTTCATGGTCGTGATTTCTGTTGTGTTTTCCTCATGAACTATTAATGAGTTTAATAAGATATTATATCTATATCATTTTTCTTGGGATTTTCAAACGCTGCATAGGAACAAGTGGATATTTAAATGATTATCAATCATCTTACATTGTTTGCTAATGAATGTTGCACAAACTGACTTTCAAATTTTGCACAAATACAAAAGCTATGAAAATTGTTTCTAACAAATTGCATCCACAAGTTGGCCATATGCCAAGTTTGATTTGGCTTGTGAATTTGACAGTAAATGCTAAACATTGCTAAACATTAATTAATTAATAACCAATACAAGTTTGTAGTTATTTATTTCTCGAATAAGTTTTCTTTTTTTTTTTAATGTTTGCTAGAACAAAAACCAGTATGGTTAGGGTACAGACGTAACCATAAAGGACAAATGCCCCCAAAGGTATTTACTTCTTGACTTCATACTAACCACATTCTTTGTATAAAGGGGGGGGGCACTCCCCTATATTCGCTATTCGGGTACTTGCCGCCAAACAGGGTATGGTTTTCAGCAATAATTCTACTCTGGAACAGGGTATCCATTTTTGCAATACCGGAACAGGTTATGATTTTCAGCGATCTTGCTCTGGAATAGGGTATGAATTTCAGTGATTTTACTCTAGAACAGGGTCAGGGTTCAAAGGGCTCAGCAGCACATCCCTACCCTAAAGGGGCAAGAGTACCCCCCCCCCCCTCAGGTGTATAACTCACCCCTTCATCTGAAGTCCATACTACAGGCCTGCTCTACCCTCGCCCTTCTATCCAAGTACTATACTTTTTACATTTACTATCTTATTGTTTAGCAAGTTCTAGATCAATAATGTAATGCAACATTATGTTATTTATGATTTGATCAAAGTACTAATTAATAAAAAAAGTACTAATAATTAATAATTTATTGATTATTGATTTATTGATTGCATTGATGTATTTGTTAATATTAAAATTGAATATGTAATTTTAACAAAATTTCATTTCAGAGAACAAGATTAAGATGTACAACTGTAAGTTTTGAAACTTTCATCAATATGAAAAATGGTCTTTGATTTATTTTAAAAAACTATAAACTATGACTTAAAGAAATAGAAAAAAACCATTAAATTATTAGTTTTTTCTCTTTTAGGTTTCAAAGAAACTTCTCACACAAAACCCCTGTCCTGTCTGTCGAGTACGAGTCGAGAAGAATTATGAACTAGATAGTAAGGTAAGTGAAATCTAAAGTAAAAATTACCAATTTTTTATACATTTTTTTAATCCAAAGATTGGACTTTTTGGGTGTAACGTTTTCCCATTTCAGACCAAGTGTTATTCCCTGGAGTATGATTTCTTTATTTAGCAGATGCCGATAATAAGATACATGGATATGGAAACAACTCAAACAAAGAATGTGTAGTTCATAGAGGATATTACATGGGCGCGCGGAGATAAAATTTATCTTCGAGTGTTGAAAAGACCTCTCACAAGTGAGCGCAGCGAACGAGTGAGAGATTTTCAACACGAGAAGAAAAATTTCGTATCTTCAAGCGCCCATGTAATATTCTGTTTATTATATAATTATCCATAAAATCAACGTAACAAGCTTTTTATTATTATAAAAAGTTCTTATTTATAAACCAATGGCTAAAATACACATGGAAACGATATTTTCACATGTGAAAATAACATGTTATTTTCACATGTGAAATATCAGTTTTTCAAAAAGGAGAAATATAGGTATTTTATGGATGATTATATGATAAAAGAAATTATCCATACCCCCCTCACAGAATTTTTTTTTTTACTCTCCCACCCTTTGGAAATTACAAATTCCTTTGCAGGGTGTGTATGGATAATTTCTGGAACTATACAATCTTAATTCTCAAGAGAATGACACATGATGATGGTCTGAAATGGGAAAACATTATTCCCAAGCCGAGGAGGTCTATAGACTTCTTTATTACTAATAGGTTTGATATCAGGTGATGAAGCTGTGAATGAAAACCATGAAAAACTGACCATGGGTCATTCTAGATCTATTCCAAGAAAAAGTGGAAATCAGTCATCATTTGTTATACGCAAATTTTTATTTTTTGTTTTGATTGTTTTGGGTTTTTTTTCAGGATGTGGTATTCCTAAGCCAGTTTCTTAACCCTCATACCAGTGAAGTGCTTGATACCAAGCAAACAGGTAATGTAATTATTCATTTTACCCTCTCACCCATAGAACTAGCTATGATTTGAAAATCTGGGGTTTTTTTTTCTGTCAATCAAAGATGTTTTTTGATTGACAGATGTAAAAAACTTGGTAGTGGTGGTCATACAGTTATAAAAAGGAGTACATACTTTCATAAGGCTAGTATTGACTCTTATTTTTCGTAGGAGTTTGCAGACAACAACAGAAAAAATTAATAAACATGATAGAGAAATCAAAGGATCAAGGTGAGGCATAGATGTAGACACTAGATAGATATTTTACCTTGTTCCCTGTCCATCCCTTTCTTTTTTCTGTATCTTCCTTTTTCTTCCTTTGCTTTCATTTCCTTCTATTGTTTTTTTGCTGCGTTCTTTCTCTTCCTTTGTGTTCCCCTTCTCTTTCCCTTCTTTTTCCTTTCCTGTCCTTTCCTTTCCTTTCCTTTTGTATTTACTACTCTTCCTGTCCTTCCTTTACTTTCTCTACCCTCCACTTTCCTTCCCTTCCTTTTTTTTTCCTTTTTCCTTTTCTTTCTATTTCCTTTTCTTTCCTTTCCTTTCCTCTTTCTTCCTTTCCTCTTTCTTTCTTCCTTCACGTTCTTTTCTTATCATTTCATTGCCCTGTAACATTAAATGGGCTCCTGTACTTTATTCCCCCAGGTTACATGCCATTTACAATCCCTGGCCCAAGAGACCCGCCAAAGAAATTCAAACCAGCAGGAATTCCAGCACCAAATATCAGAAATAAGACAGGATAGAACTTAAAACATACTGATAATGTCTAAATAAAACAACAACAAATGCTAAGAAAACATACCAGTCTATACCTCAGTTTCACTTACTAGTGCTTTCCTGTATGTCTATTATACTTGCCTGAATTAAATGTCTTCAAGTGCCTCTGAGTTGGAGATTTCGTTAAATTTTAGGAAAAAGAACTTCATCATTGGTGACAAGTTTGCAAATTGCAAAGTACCGAGGGGATTTCTTTTAAAAAATAAAGGGAGAATTATACAGGAATACCATTGAAGTATTGCAGTTAAAAATTCTAGTTGGTACCCTGTAAATAAATACGATATAGAAAACTATATACATTTATTTTATTAGTCCTATCTGAACTAAATGTTTTTTCATTGAATAAAACAAAGTTCAAGACATTTTCACTGCGATTTCAAAAGTAAAAGAAAAATGTTTCTAATTTTGAAATTTTCGATATCTCGAGAATGGTGATTCCCCTACCAGTTTTCCAAGAAATATAGCATTTCAAAATTTAAATTATGTAAATAAGAATAAATTATTTTGGTTTCACTATTCGCTATATAAGGAGACTATGACACATCCATGGCGAAGTATTGCTATGTCTTATTCAAGTCGCATGTAAAAAAATCTTGGAAGTTACAACTCACAAACTAACGTTGAATCTAAAACTATGAATTTTCGTATTCTTATGGTTTCAAGGAGTATTTTGAGAGATATGTTTGCCAAGAACTGCGCTTTATTTGGTAGCAGATTTGTGCGTTCTGTAAGTACTATCCTACAAAGTCATTCTGTATTAATCTGCGCTAAAGCATCGTACTTTTTCCCAAGATCCTTTTTTTTTTCTATTTCTATCGTAGGCTGAGAAATCGTTAAATTTTTGGATTGATTTATGCACAAACTTACAAGTTTATACAAGTGCTGCGAATTCTAGGAAGTTCCAAACGAGTCTCGACAAATTCTCATTTTTTCTTCGTTCTCTCGACATTTTAACAGTGTTTATCGCGCTTATATGAGGCAAAACGTCAAAAGATGTTTGTCTTTTTTCTCGCAAAATTTGCTTTATTTTTTTCTCTTATTTTAAAATATGTAAGGGTTTTAAATATAAATCACGTTATTTCCCAACATTGTTCTCAGTTTACTTTCGTTTTCTTATTATTGTCCTGATGGGATTTGTTGAGTCCCGTCCACTCACATGATCCGAAAGGGGAAGCCCCTAAATTTTTTTAATTTTCTGGGGTCAAAATAAAAACGAAAAGTTGCTTTAAAAACAAGTATAAAGAATCGTATATAGGTTATTATTGAAAGATTTCTACATAAATGTTACTGAAATAAAAATCCGATTCCTATCCGTACTCGTTTATTTTAGACCGAAACCGGAAAACGTCACATGAGGTCCGTGGCACAAGCGTTGCGTTACTTCACATTACGTTATCGCGTTATGAAGGACGATGTTTTGCTCTTTCGTATTAAATTTTCATTATCTACAATGGCTGCCATCAAGGAAGATGTCCCATCGACAAGTCCAAGCGAGGAACCTGTAGAAAAAATAGCAAAAAAAGAAGTTTCAAAAACTTCACTGGAAAAGCATATTCGCAGCTTACCGGTGAGCAAATATCTTTGATTATCGAGTTAGTCGAATATTTTTTTTAACTTTTTTTAATTAACACTGTACGGTAATTCGAAATTTCGGTTATGTTTCGAGAAATATCAAATTCCTTCAAATTCGAACCTAGATTTATTTTCCCATTTCCAAATTACTTTTTTTGATATTTTTATTGAAGCAATCTTCCTGCAGCTTGCTTAACCTCGGATTTCCAAGAATAATCTTTGGGGTCACTTGGTAGCTAGGGTAGTAGGGGAGGAGAGGTTAGAGATATTTGTTCACTAGTTAAAGATTAAAAGTCTTTAAGAAAACGAAAGGTTGAGAGAAAAGAAAAGGATTTTGGGACTCGATTTAATCAGGGGTCTTACATATAATAGTCAAACTATGTTTGAATATTTTGTTAATACGTTTCTAACTAAACTTTTTTTGAATCTCTCTAGGGGACAGACTCGAGCAGAACAGTGAATGTTGCAGTTTCTTCTCGAGCTCTATTTGACCTGGAAGAAGAAAATGAAATCTTCGAAAAAAAAGGTCTTGAAGAGTATATACAACTGCAAGTATCCAGGGAAGATAAATTCCTGAAGCCTGGCTCTGCTTTTCCCTTCATCAAGGTGACCCCTTTATTTATTTTTTAATTTATCCACTTTCTACAGGACCTGTTCTTTCATTTTCATTTTTACTTTTTAGACTGTTCTTTCCGATTACTGGCACTTTCCTTGTTTTTAATTAATTCCTTTACTGGCTATTCTTGCGATTTCTTTCTTTACTCGCGGTTTTTGATATTCTGTGAACATGCTTGGTGCTGTCGTCAATCAAACGCGATCAGTCGGCACCTTTCATATATTTGAACGGCTGCAGTAAATACCAACTTCACAACAAGACGTTGAAGTGTCCGAGTTCGTAAAAGTATGGATAAAACTCTTTCTTTTCGCAACTTCATCATGGTCCGCCTCTTGCACAAGTTTATAACTACTTTTAATTTTCTAATGCGTAAAAATGTACCGATTTTTCGTGGAATTTATAATCACTAAAAGCATCACGAACGTCCAACTTTGCTTACCCCAAACTACATTTCCTGGTAGGTTTTAACTGAAATTATTATAGTCAAAATATATTTTGCATGAAATTTGGTTTAAAATTCTTATATTATATATTTCAACCACTACTCCCAGAACTGGGCCGCTTTACCTTGCGACGTTCGCTCTACACGCACTACCACTACATTCCTTCTTTGAACCTTTTTCATTTGAATATTATTAAATCTACACCGCGTGAGAAACACCACACACTTTCGTTTCATTCAAATTTTTTTTTTTAATATGAAAGTGCAGCTTAAGCATTTTCGATTTGTTTATTTTACATTACGCACTAAACATTGATTCGCTGATAAATTTTTTACGTCACGTTCCAATACTCATGTCTGGGCCTGTCGAATGGTTCTGAGAAATTGCGGAAAAGGCGAGATACAAACATTTAATTGGTCTGACATCACGAAAACAATCATGCAAATCCTTGTTTCACTTTACTTTGTTATAATTTTCCGTTCTGTTCTCTTTTCCTTTCTCTTTCTTTCCTTTTCTTTCCATAGAGTCTTTTATTTTCTTTATTTTTTCTTTCTTTCCTTTGTTTTCCATTTCTTTTCTTATTTATAGTTTCGAATTTTGTCGTCGTTTTTCTCCGCGCGCGACCTCATAATCTTCATTTTCGGTCATCATTAATTTAACTAATATTTCATGTAAAATAAACTTACCCTTTATATTTCAGGCCCTTGAAAATGTCAACGCCAAGCTGAGGGAAATAGACCCAAACGAAAGAGAAATCTTCTCCATAGCTTTGATGTCACACAACAATGCAAACGTTGGCATTCGTCTTCAAAAATCCATAGATCATTATGGTAATATTTCATCCTCTAGATAACATTATGTTATACTAATATATTAATGTTTGTTCGTTGTAACTCATGTAATGACGTCACGTCATCGTGAGCCCGCTTAGACACGAGTGAAAAAATCATGCGCTGCTCATAGTCTGTATACGGAAATTAGTCAAAGACGTCCTTCAAGGCTCCGTATTGTGAAACTAAGTAAACAAAATTTGACTTTTGAAGTAAATGATTTGGTCAATTTTGATTAGGAAGCAAATTAAGTCTAGAGGCTGTATGAGTCAGTCGGCTTACAAAATACATGTGACTTCAAAGCAGCACAATTTGGAGGACGAAACAAAGGATTTTCAATCTCCTGAGAATAGGGGACCTATTGTTATGTCCTCCCAAGCTAAGTACATTCTGACGTGCTGCAAGGATTGTATTGATAATTTGCAGCCAGGCATCATAAAGAGAGCTGACAAAGACATGGCGGCCGCCATGTTGGGTGTTATTGAAAAATGCCGTAAAAATGAGGAAAGTACCGTGTGTTTCTATATGAATACAATCATCAAATTAACATGGCCGCAAACAAAAAATATCGACCATCTCCGATATTTCTCTAATTAGATTGTTTTTAATGCTTTCCTTAGGTCTTATCGTGACCAGGATGGCTCTGACAGGAGGAACAAGCCCTGTAGAATACCTCAAGGCCTTCAACATTACTCTGTTTCTCACCTCGTATGAAGATCAAGTCACCGAAGCTATACATCGAGGTACTTCTCTTCATCGTTTCATTTTGGGGCCCACGGGTGACGTAATTGTAGGAACGAGCGACTCTCAATGTGCCCGGGGCTCGATCCCAGGACTCGGCGTCATATGTGAGTCGAATCACAATCAATAGACCTTTCCTGAGATAGCGACCATGATGCATTGTGGTCTAGTCTCGTAACAAACATCTTTTATTCATCATACCTTATATGGTGTCGTCTGTAGAACACAATGCATCCTGTTTATCAAACTCAGAAATGGACTATTGTCCAACTCTCTATTTGCATAGCACTCAAATCACCTCTCTATCTGCATGTTGTGAATTTGCTATCTGCGATGAACTTCGCTGTCCCTTCTCTTTAGTTCCACAGGGATCCCAATAGTAAATGAAATAATTTATTGCGGTCTACCTGTGTTCTTGTCAAGATCGCCACAGGGGTCCCAGCAATAGCTTCAAACCCGTCACTCGTTCTAATCCTGATTCTGTTGTATTTCCAAGGTTTTCCAGCTGCAGTGATGTCTCTTCAGCCGATGAATAATCCCAGCGAGACACAGCTGCGCATCGCTTTTGATTTGGATGCTGTTCTGTTTTCTGACGAGTCTGAAAAAGTCTTCAAGGCCAAGGGACTGGACGCTTACATTGAATACGAACTACAGAACCGAGAGATACCGCTGACCGAGGTTGGTTGACACAGGAAGTCCATCACAGGCATTTTAAAGTATTTCGTATTCGCCTCTTTGAAGTTTAAAAAATAAGGGTAAATTGCAATTGGGTAGGCACAAAATGGCTTCCAAATTCAGCCCCACATCCATTCTGATGAACATTGCACTGCACGAGACTGAAAATAAAACCAAGTAATACAGTAGCTTAATACAGACATCGAACTAAAACCTGTCTCACCGCGAAACAAATTATTCCTTTTTCTACACAGGGACCACTCAAGCCATTTGCTGAAAAAATCGGTCGAATGCAGAAAAAGTTTGACCGCTCCAAAAAAGAATCCTGTCCAATCAGAACGTACATAGTAACGTCACGTGACGCCGTCCTCGGACAACGAGCGCTCAAGACATTGCGTGAGTGGGGACTGGAAATAGACGAGTGTTTCTTCATGGCCGGCGCAGCGAAAGACGAGGTCTTGAAAGCTATCAACCCTCATATTTTCTTTGATGACCAGATTACGCACGTTGCCCGCGCGCGGGAAAAGGGAACGCCGTCTGGTTACGTCACTCACGGGATATCACGTGAGTACGACGCGAAGAAACGAGAGCAGGCAAAAAAGGATTTGACGAACGCGAAATAAGAGGATTTTCGAAAACCACCAGTGCAGTATCTTGAGGCACTACTTCAATTGTACCAGGTGACCTTGTCAAATTCCTTTAGGTAATAGTTTTTTTTATAGTAGTAATTTTAAAATAGAATTTCAAAATTTAATAGATTTTTAGTCGAACGAGATTTTTATTGTCAATTTTCGCATACAAAACGTGATAGGACGGGGAAGGAAATTGAAATACGATGAATTTATCTATACCTAATGAGCCACTAGAATGATTCTAGGAGCAACTTGTAAATATGATCCAAGGTAATCAAACCTACACGTACACACGACGTAATTTTTTCGAATAAATATTTTTAAAATAGGGTACCAGATTGCAAACAATTCGAAAATATATTTATGATTTATTTGAATGTAATTTATTTGAATGTAATTTTAGATACGTATATTTTTTACCATTGCAACAAAAACTCAACGAATCCCCATACTTTATATACATAGATTATGAATTTTTTTTAGCGCAATCAGAATTTCAAAATTTATTTAATTCATTGAATGTAATATTGTTAGTTACCATGGTAACGAAATGAGAAAAATTCCAATAAACTAAAATCCGCCAATCGCCATTATTCCGAGGTGGAGAAAACAAACGGGTCGAGATGAAACCGCAGTGCTTTGTGGGGCTGTTTTAAAGGACGAAATAGACGCCATATTGAAAATAAACGATCCCACAATGCAATGCAATGCCAACTCGATCTAGTTTTTTCCTGAACCTCTATTATTATACATAGATTATGAATAGATTATGAGTGTATTAAGTACGTTAAAAAGATAAATTTAAAAAAATATTTAATTATTTTGTAAGGTTTTCTAATGATGAGACAAATTCAAATAAAATACACCAATCTTTACGTTTTTCTAGGTTGAATTTGTTTTCAGTTTCAGTTTCACACAATTTCTGTTAATCTTTCAATTTTCAAGTAGTTTTGCATCAGGAGAAAATGACCATTCCAATTTTTACGATATGATTACTAATTACCCATTAACAGTCACCCAAAAATCCTATTCTCGTTGCATCATATTACATTATCCCAGGGAAAACATTGACAATGAATCCCATCGATTAAGTTGTGACGTATTTCCGGGTTTAACATTTCTACAACTTGCATTGTGACAGTTAAAATGCGTAAAATTTCCTTAATGATTTAAACTCCACAATCAGAGCTTTGGACAACAAATCCTATATCATGTATGAGAAAAAGTAATAAAAATCTTTATGGAACTGCTTAGTTTTGGACCCGGAAGTCGTTTATAATTTCCATACGATTGACGTCACATGTTAAAAGCTCTATAGTCTGTCAGGTAACTGCAAACGTCTAGCAAAGCTTGTTGGAATTAAAATTATAAATACAGTAACAATGGCTACGAATTCGAACAGAGAAGACGATGGAACGAAGCTTGGAGAAAATCGCCCTATTCAAGAGTCGCCCAAAGAACCAGATGACGACGAAAAAATATTTATCTTGCCGGTAAGCGAAGCAGAAGTTGCAGTCAGTTGGTTTCGCTTTCACTTTACCATACTGATTATTTACATCGTGAATATGAATAAAACCACTGTTGTATCTCATTTTATTCACCTTTAGAAATGATCTGAAACTGAATACGCTTCACCTATAAACTACGGATTTCTTTACGAAGAGTTATGATTGCGGAAATATGTTCTTTGAAGTTAAAACTTTCACTTTTGCTTTGATTGTTTTGAACGTCTAAGTTTACTTCGTGGTTTATATTTATAACTTTCGCTTTTTGCTCTCTTTACCTTAGGATTCTTCCCGGAAAGAAAAAACAGGAAATGAATTCCCATGAAAAAAATCTTATTCTACATTGCTGTTTGGAAATTTTATATTCAATTCATATATTGCTTCTAAATAAATCGATTTTTACTTCTTTTTCTCTTGTAGGTTGGAAAAGAAATCAACGTAGCCGTTTCCTCTCGAGCTTTGTTCGAATTGGAAGAAGAAAATGATGTGTATGAAAGGAAAGGACGTAAAGAATACATCGACCTTCAAATAAGCCGAGAGGATCAACCTCTGAAGCCAGGGGCAGCGTTCCCTTTTATTAAGGTTAGTTAATGCGCTAATGTTATTAGAGACGGTGATTTTATCATTTAGCCGTGAAGACAATCTTCAGACCTTGCAGTAAAGGACGAGACGATGGAAGGTTGTGGTCTATGTTGTTTTCGCTGAAATTCGAGTGATGCTTTCTTAAAATATTTTCCAAAAATAACTACCCAGGGTTTCATATCTAATAAAGGCCCATCTATCCTCAAAAGGAGAGTGGATTTGACTTTTTGACTCTTACCACCATTTGTTTGATTCTTGTTGACATTTCCCAGAACATATCATTTGGCTAATGAGTAGGGTCTGGGTACGAGAATGTATTTTCCTATTGGTGGGCTACCTGTTTATATTATAATTTGGCCGAGATGGACAGAAAGCGAATAAAGCTCCCAGATACCTTCCACAGGAAGGTCAGAGAAGAAAAGACAGAATAAAAGACGCCTCCGGCGTAGCAGACCTAGACGGATGTAGTAACGAGTCCATCTACTTTTTTTACAGGCCCTCGAGTATGTGAACGCGAAGTTGAAAGAGACCCACATGAAAAAGAAATCTTCTCTATAACGTTGATGTCACACAACAGTGGACAAGTTTGTATTCGTCTCCAAAACTCCATTGAACATCATGGTAATTAGAAATATATCAATCAATCATCTAATTAATATACACTTATCATGAATCATCGCTAAGAGGTCATTTCCGGTCTCGTTGGGAAYATTTACCAGCTGAATGGCAGGTTTGCGCCAATTGCTTGCTATCAATCACGTGACTTTTTGGAGTTGACTGGGGGGCAAACAAGCAAGTCAAAACATTTCAAAATAAGTCCTCAAACTATTGTATTTGACTATTTTCACGACATCAAACCAGAAGATAAGAGATCAAAACAACCTCCAGGATTCTACAAGCCACCAAAAAAGAGCTATTACCGGAAGTGACGTCTATTGATAGCAACCTATAATTCGCTCTCAATAAACGTCATTTCCGGCCATGGAATGATTGCGCATGGGGGTGGGTCAGTGTGTGTCTCTTACTGACGAAGGCTGGTAGTAAGATTTATAGGATTTCTTCAGCTAATTGATACCAAGCAATTAATTGTGACCCCTCCAATTACAATGCCTACTACCCCCTCCCCTCCTTAAACATAAATGGTACCCAATACAGAAATCCAATTTGATTCAAACAGGACTGAATATAACAGGACTAGCTCTGACTTCAGGTGCAAATATCGTCCCGTACCTAAAACCGTATGAAATAAACCTCTTTCTTACTTCGTTTGAGGAAGAAGTAGCAGAAGCGTTAAAGGAAGGTACGTGGGACCCATTTTCCTTTCTCGATACGCAGAAGCCGAGTCCTCCTTTCCTCGCCCCGCCCCGATCCCCCACCTGCTCCGCTACGCAGTCTTGGTTGATTCAAACCTCTGGTTTGTCTGGAGACGAAGTCTAGTCTATTTTACTTTCGCTGTTGTACCACAGTATGGGACCCGCACCCGCACACGGGCCCCGCGTACCCCCACAACAAAGCCACGCTCAAAATATAGGTAAAAAGCCAACCATGAATCGGAATTTAGGAGTTGATTTTTATCGAAACAACTACCTTACGCGTACAAAAATAACTCTACCCACAAGTGATGGTGGGTCCAGGGATTAAACCACAACCACAGCGGTGAGAGACAGCGCACACCACCCGTTATCAATAGTCTTATAGTTGGATCAATCTCATATCGATTTTGACATCTCAAAGGTTTCGCAGCTGCCGTGATGTCGCTTCAGCCGATGAACTCGCCAAGCGAGACACAACTGCGGATCGCCTTTGATTTGGATGTAGTCCTGTTTGCCGATGAAAACAAAGAAGACGACGAGTATGCTCAACAGGATGCTTCGTTGAACGAGGTAAAACAGACCACCTTGAATTGTGTAGCAGAAGGTAATGGTGGTGTTAGCACCAATACAACATGATATTCCATCAAATTAGGTATAATAAACCTCCTTGCTATAGGCGCAATGTATTAGAAGCAGTAGCATTAGTGGTAGTAGTAGTAGCAGCAGTAGTAGGTGGTTGTAGTGGTAGCGGCGTTCAGTTTTAACCCTTAAAACATCACAAGTTTAACAATTTCAGAGTCCCTTAAAGAAGTTTGCCGAGGCCATCGGTCGAATGCAGAAAAAGCTCATTACTGTGGAGCCCTGTCCAATCAGGACATACATAATTTCGTCACGTTCTGCAAAGATAGGACGTCGCGCTCAGATTACGTTACGTAACTGGGGTCTGGAAATCGATGAGAGCCATTTCAAGGAAGGTCTGCCGACAGACAAATTACTCAAGATAATCAACCCGCACATTTACTTCAATAACAAGGATGCCGATGTGGAGAGTGCAAGAGCAAAAGGCACGCCCACTGGGTACGTGAAAGGCGGAGAGCACAGCCACGACGAAAAGAAAAAAGAGGACGTTAAGAAGGATCTGTTTAAGAGCAAGGAACCACTTTAAGGTATAACACACTGTTGTGCTTCTGTATTAGTGGTGCTCGCACATTTCAAGCGATATACATATCATTTGTTGTCTATCAGTTGATTTGACAGTAACGCAAATTGACAGTAACGCAAATTGACAGTAACGCAAATTGGCATTAACGCAAATTGACAGTAACGCAAATTGACAGTAACGCAAATTGACAGTAACGCAAATTGACAGTAACGCAAATTG